TTGAGAAGAATGGGTATTAATTCTGTTTTAAATGTCTGGTAGAATTCCCTAGGGAAGCCATCTGGCCCAGGGCTCTTATTTGTTGGGAGGTTTTTGATAACTGATTAGATTTCCTCAATAGTTATGGATCTGTTGAGATTTCCTATCTCTTCCCGTGTGAATTTTGGTAGTGAATGTGTGTTTAGGAATTTGTCCATTTCTTCTAAGTTTTCCAATTTGTTGGCATATAATTTTTCATAGTATTCCTTGATAATTGCTTGTATTTCTGAGGGGTTGGTTGCAATAAGTCCTTTTTAATTCATGATTTTGTCTATTTGAGTGCTCTCTCCTTTCTTTTTGAGAAGCCTGGCTAGAGGTTTGTCAATTTTGTTTATTTTTTCAAAAAACCAACTCTTGGTTTCATTGATCTGTTCAACTGTTTCTTTGGTTTCTATATTGTTTATTTCTGTCCTGATTTTTATTATTTCTCTTCTACTGGGTTTGGGATGCTCTTGTTGCTCTCCCTCTAGTTCCTTTAGGTGCACTGTTAGATTTTGCACTTGCACTTAGCCAATTTTTCTATCTGTAAGCCTAGAAGTCATTCTTCACTCCTCTCTTTCTCCCACAACCATATCCAAGCCAAACAATTCTATTTATTCTAGTTGCTAAATGCATCCCAAATCCAAGCTTTCCCAGCCCCCATTAAAATCTTCATCATTTCTTGATAGAATGTTGTGGTAACATTAGACAATAAATAAAAGACATCCAAATTGGAAAGAGAGAAGTAAAACTATGTCTGTTTGCAGATGATGTAAAATTATATGTAAAAAAAACCCCTAAAGATTCTATACACAAAATAAAATTTGTTAAAACTAATAAACTCAGCAAAGTTTCAGGATACAAAGTTAACACACAAAAATCAGTTGCATTTCTATATGTTAACAACAAATAATACAAAAAGAAATTAAAAAACAATTATAATTACAATAACATCAATAAGAATAAATAGGAATGTCTGGGTTGCACAGTCAGGTAAATGTCCAACTTAAGCATCCTTGGCTCAAGTCATGATCTTGTGGCTCATGGGTTCAAGCCCTGCATCAGGCTCTGCACCACTAGTGCAGATTATAAATAAATAACAAATAAGTGTAAAAACATTTTAAAAAATAAATAAACTTTTATAAAAAGAATAGATAGATAAGATACTTAGGAATTAACTAAGGAGAAAGACTTATACACTGAAAACTACAAAACAGTGCTGAAAGAAATTAAAGACATAAATAAATGGAAAGACATCCTATGTTCGTGGATTAAAAGACTTAATATTATTAAGACATCAATACTATCCAAATCAATCTAGAGGTTCAATACAATCCCTATTAAAATCCCAAAAATATTTTTCTCAGACATAGAAAAATCTATTCTAAGATTCATATGGAATGTAAAGGGACTCCCAAATAACCAAAACAATCTTGAAAAAGAACAAATTTGGAGGACTGGTACGTCCTGATTTCAAAACTTACTACAACACTACAGTAATGAAAACAATATAGTCTTGGCATGAAGACAGATAATAGCCTAATGAAGTAGAACAGAGATCTCAGAAACAAACTCACATATAGGGTCTAATAACTTTTGATAAGGGTGCCAAGACCATTTATAGGAAAATACAG